ATATGATATGATATGATATGATATGATATGATATGATATGATATGATATGATATGATATGATATAATATAATATAATATAATATATGATAATATAATATAATATAATATAATATAATATAATACAATATATTTATAATTATAATTATAATTATGATTTACAATGTAATTATAATTATAATCATCATTATTATTAATATGATTGTTGTTCTTGTTGTTATTGTTGTAATTATTATTACTTCGGAGTAATTATATATTTAAATTAGTAATTATAGATATAATTATGATTATAGAAATAAATATTATAATTATAATTAAAATAATAATTATAAAATTAATCATAATTAAAAATATAATTACATTTATAATTGTATCTGTACTTATAATTAGTGTAATTAGTATAATTATTATAATTTTAAATTTAATTTTAATTATTATTTTTTTATAATTATGATTATAATTGTAATTTTATTTAAGTTATATCTTTTAATTACAATTATAAATCTAATAATTATAATTATAATTACAATTATAGAAAATATTCAAATCAGATCAGAAAGATTCAGATCAGAAGAATTCAGATCAGATCAGAAACTTTCAGATCAGATCAGAAACCAATAATGAGGTGAATTTTCAATTCGTTGGCAATCATCCCGAATAAAGTTATTAGTGTTCTCAATAAAGTTAAAGTTATTATTCCCTCCGTTCTTTAATAAAAGTCTTTCTTTCTTTTTTGGGACGTTTTTTGTTATTTGTCCTCCTTTCCATTTAAGGAAAGTTTTTACTTTAAATATACCTTTATACCCTCACTTTTATTACCACCTACTATTTTCCTCTTAAAACCCGTGCCAAAGCCTAAGAGGACAGATAATAAAGAACGGAGGGAGTATAAACACTATATATACTCATTTTCAATATAACATATACTCCGTAGTAATTAATAAGATTTTTTTTGAAAGAATAGATAAGATGAAAATATTAACACATAATATTAAAATATAACATTACTACTAAAATATAAGATGGTGTTTGTCCTTTTGGATTCCAAAACTATAATCACGAAACTCAAGACTTTGCCTTCCATAGAATGCCACCCGTATTCTTTCTTCATCCGAACTCCCAGCGAGCAGGGAGCAACTAGCATCGATCAGAACTCCAGGCCGGATTTCAGCAAGCGAGCAACGCCTCCTTCAACAACTCCTAGGACACCAGCGAGCAGTACAACATGGAAGACCTTTAGCATTGGAGTTGTAATTAATCATAAAAATATCTGACTGTATCATACCCTAGGTACAACCGGCTGTACGGTGTAATTTGTGTGATTTTATGTAATTGTGGTTTAAAGCAAAAACATTAATGGGTTAGCTGACTAATAAATTTTTATTTGACTTAATTGATGGAGGCAAAACAAAAACTCGATTGGGCCAAATTACTATGTGGCAAACAACAACTCGTACTTCCATGAGTATTGCTCATCCATCACATCCCTTCTGGATGGAGGCCCTCCCTGCATGAGCATCTCTCACATATCTTTGTGCGAAAAGTTCAATCCTTAACTCCAATCCTTAAACCTAACTCCAATCCTTAACCCTAAGGGTTCTCCCAGTCTCCCACTCCACATAAAAGAGGATGTAAATTATGGTAACTCAGCTAACCACGGAGGCTAGATTAGTGTCACTACGTACAAAGAGAGTAAGGAGTCCCCTCACTTTGAGAGGTTGTTCTCAAATTGCCGATAACGGGACTCAGAAGCTGTTCCGTTCGTCTTAATCTTATTACTTATTCCTTAATCTTATTTTATTCAGATCAGATCAGATCAGATCAGAAAGATTCAGATCAGATCAGATCAGATCAGATCAGAAAGATTCAGATCAGATCAGATCAAATCAGAAACATTCAGATCAGATCAGAAAGATTCAGATCAGATCAGCAACATTCAGATCAGATCAGAAAGATTCAGACCAGATCAGAAACATTCAGATCAGATCAGAAACATTCAGATCAGATCAGAAACATTCAGATCAGATCAGATCAGATCAAAAAATTCAAACATGATTTGTCACTTTTATTAATATATTAATTATGATTATTATATTATAATTATTGTTAATAATATTAATATATTAATATAATAATATTATTAATAATATAATGATAATAATGTTAATAATATAAAATTATTATTATAATATAATATAATATAATATGATATGATATGATATGATATGATATGATATGATATGATATGATATGATATGATATGATATGGTATGGTATGGTATGGTATGGTATGGTATGGTATGGTATGGTATGGTATGGTATGGTATGGTATGGTATGGTATGGTATGGTATGGTATGGTATGGTATGGTATGGTATGGTATGGTATGGTATGGTATGGTATGGTATGGTATGGTATGGTATGGTATGGTATGGTATGGTATGGTATGGTATGGTATGGTATGGTATGGTATGGTATGGTATGGTATGGTATGGTATGGTATGGTATGGTATGGTATGGTATGGTATGGTATGGTATGGTATGGTATGGTATGGTATGGTATGGTATGGTATGGTATGGTATGGTATGGTATGGTATGGTATGGTATGGTATGGTATGGTATGGTATGGTATGGTATGGTATGGTATGGTATGGTATGGTATGGTATGGTATGGTATGGTATGGTATGGTATGGTATGGTATGGTATGGTATGGTATGGTATGGTATGGTATGGTATGGTATGATATGGTATGGTATGATATGATATGATATGATATGATATGATATGATATGATATGATATGATATGATATGATATGATATGATATGATATGATATGATATGATATGATATGATATGATATGATATGATATGATATGATATGATATGATATAATATAATATAATATATGATAATATAATATAATATGATATGATATGATATGATATGATATGATATGATATGATATGATATGGTATGGTATGGTATGGTATGGTATGGTATGGTATGGTATGGTATGGTATGGTATGGTATGGTATGGTATGGTATGGTATGGTATGGTATGGTATGGTATGGTATGGTATGGTATGGTATGGTATGGTATGGTATGGTATGGTATGGTATGGTATGGTATGGTATGGTATGGTATGGTATGGTATGGTATGGTATGGTATGGTATGGTATGGTATGGTATGGTATGGTATGGTATGGTATGGTATGGTATGGTATGGTATGGTATGGTATGGTATGGTATGGTATGGTATGGTATGGTATGGTTATGGTATGGTATGGTATGGTATGGTATGGTATGGTATGGTATGGTATGGTATGGTATGGTATGGTATGGTATGGTATGGTATGGTATGGTATGGTATATGGTATGGTATGGTATGGTATGGTATGGTATGGTATGGTATGGTATGGTATGGTATGGTATGGTATGGTATGGTATGGTATGGTACGGTATGGTATGGTATGGTATGGTATGGTATGGTATGGTATGGTATGGTATGGTATGGTATGGTATGGTATGGTATGGTATGGTATGGTATGGTATGGTATGGTATGGTATGGTATGGTATGGTATGGTATGGTATGGATATGGTATGTATGGTATGGTATGGTATGTTAGGCTATGGTACTGGTATGGTATGGGTATGGTATGGTATGGTATGGTATGGTATGGTATGGTATGGTATGGTATGGTACTGGTATGGTATGGTATGGTATGACTATGATATGATATGATATGACTATGATATGCTCATATCTGATCATCGATCCATGACATGATCATGATCATGATATGACTATGATCATGATATGATATGATATGATATGATCATGATATGATCATGCTATGCACTATCGATATGATCATGATCATGACTATGATCTGATATCATATCACATCTAATAATCATATCATAATATACTGTCACATCTAATCTACATCTAATCATCTAATACTCATACAATAATTTATAATTATAATTATAATTATGATTTACAATGTAATTATAATTATAATCATGATTTACAATATAATAATATTGTAATAATATTATAATTATGATTTACAATATAATAATATTATGGCTTTCTACTTTGTTCTTAATTAAGTGTGTAATTTTAAATTTGCTGATGTACAACTTTAACCATTTAAATAATATATTTGACCAGCCATTAATAATAACATAACAAATTTAACCATAGCCTTCATAATGTAATTATTCAATAATAGAAGTCAGCGTAGAGTATAATAATAAAAACAAACAATTGCCAATATGTTATACGTAGTATTCGGTATTTATATATCACGTGTTTAATTTCTTTCTCTGTATTTTCTTTCTTTGTACTGTTAACTTTTTTCAATAAAATTCTATTTTTCCCAAAAAAAAAAAAAATATCACGTGTTTAACACAACAGAGTTAAATGAGATGGTGGGTACCACATGCCAACATAGTTAAGCCACTCTTGCAAAGAAGTGAAATAACTATGCTTCAGAAAATTCATTCAGGCAATTGGCACTTTGGCAGCAACGGGCAAACCAAAAACAAAATAAAGGATCCCACCACAAGAGTGTATATACTATATAGAATTATAGAGTGTATATGTTGCACCGGTTCAACATTACATAAGTAATTTTTAAAATCTAACAAGGCAGCCCGGTAAATCGGTAATGCGGTACATATTGATGCCTGCAAGGTGAGCGTACAAAAGGGTCCCACCACAAGGTGTATATAAGTGTCACATCTTTCTTTATCATTTTGACACTAAACCCATAACCTATCAATCACACGATAACACCGTACGTGGTATGCCAACAGCTAAAGCTCCCTTCTTTCAAAACAATTTTTAAAGCATAAAAAATCAAAATTAAGATATTTGATTATTTGATAACAGATAACCACACCTACAAATTACCCCATAAACGAAACAATAAGCAGCATAGCAACAATACTTATTAAAACTCCATGTTGAAATTCGTACTCGAGAATTCTCTTTGATTAAATAAAAGTGGGACACTATTTATTCATTTTGAATAAAAAAATTGGTGCTTTAGCTACATGAAAGTTTTAAAGATAAACCAGGAAAAATATAAAAATTAAAAGAATGAAAAATAGAATAAAATAATAAAGAATGAAAAATAAACTACTTGTATATTTAAATCATAATTAATTTCCATTGTTGTCTAATAAGGTAGAATTCTTCCTCTTTTTTGATGGATTAAGGGGATCCTGTGCAAACTGGCGAGCTGTTCGAGCCTGCAGTTCCTCCAAGCTCTCGCCTTCTTTGGCAATCTCAATGACCTGAAAACCAAACATCCTCTTTAAATACAGCAATGAACACACAGAATAGCAAAAAAAAATAGCAAAGGAAGTTCTATATATGAAACTCTTTAAAGTTTAAGCCATCAGAACATAACAGTCCATTGAATAAACATACCCGTTGCATCTATATTTAATGGGCATATAAAAATAGAATATGATTGTCAATAATTTATAGAAATTCATAGCAAGCACGCTTTAAAATCTTGGCTTAGCTTAACCATGTGTAAGTCCTTACAATTCTTTAATAGAAATTCTAGCTGGATAATACTTCGTATATTCGGAAGGCAAATAATGCCTTTCAATATGATCATAAAGCTCAGAATAGCGCAACTATAGTTAGATCTATAAAAGCAGAATTACAAACATGGAGCCTAAGCTTAAATGACACAGTACTACATGATAAAGCACAAAAGCTCTGCCATTAAGGCTTTAAATCAGCTTTAATCACTTCCAGGGCAGCATATAATCACTGCACCAAACCACCCCCTTGTGCACTAAAACTTAATATAGATGCAGCATACAATAATGGGATAGCAATAGCAGGTGGGATTCTGAGAGATTTCAATGCACTAAAACTTAATGTAGATGCAGCATACAGTAATGGGATAGCAATGTGCTTTCATTGCAGCACATTGCATTCTTCTGTCCAGAAATTAGCTCCCAGCTCATCTACTAGCAGAAAAGTTTTATTGATGCCTTATCCATACCAAGTCCAAATAAAAAGATACAATGCACATTCCAAGAAGCTCTGAATTCGATTCCTGATATTAAGCATTTATCTGTCGCCCTATTTTACATAGCAACCAACAATTCAAGAACTTTTAACGCCAAGGAGAATCAAACGAACATAGTATATACCCTCGGTACCAAATACTCTCACAAATATGAAGTGTTTATGAGTGACGTCAGACTTACCAGATGGCGGCCATATAAATGGGTATTCGAAAGGGCTTGAAGGGCATCTGCAGCTTCTTTATCAGTTACATACTCCACAAAGGCGAAACCTCTGTGATTCCCATTTCCAAACCTCTTTGGCAGCCTCAAACGCTTCACCTGTAGCTCTCACAGATCAGACAAGCCCCAACTTACTTTTCAGCATTTAAAAAAGAAGACTTCTTGTAGCAAGATTTTTTTAAAGTGAACTTAGTCCATCCTGAGAAATCTAAAATACTAATGGTGTATAAAATAACAGGGCATTACCTGACCAAATGAACTGAATAGCTGTCTAAGATCTTTCTCAGTTGATTCAAAAGCAACATTCTTTACAATCAATTTTTTTGAACCCTTCACACGTCCAAATTTTTTGTGTCCATTAAGTTCATCCTTTTTAGCTTGGCATAATTGCAATGTGAGGGCATGTTGGTCCAACACAGTACCCTGCTTTTAGAAGACCAGAAAAATTGATGAAGACTGTTCTTAGATTCATGACATGTTAGTTAATGAGTGTACAAGCAGATTAGGAGTGACAGACTATGGCCTAATGCTTTCAAGCTCTATTGAAAGCGTTAGTATATTACCTGCATATATTTGCAGATTTTCAATGCGGTATCAACAGAATCAAATTCTATGAACCCGAATCCCATTGATACAATTTTTCCATCTTTGATATGCTTCTTTATCTGAATAAAATTATACAGCAATAACAAAAAAAAATTACACAGGACAACATTGACTAATGACATCAAAAACAAACACATAACAGGATAAGGTACCAGAAATACCTACCGTGACACTAAGTATTCTTCCTTCCGTCATGCGATCTGTGAAATGCTTTTTCAATTCATCATCTGATGTTCTGAAGTTCAGGTTCTTAACATAAACTGAACGAGACTGAAACACACAGGAATAAAGTAAAATGAGATTGGCTATTAACAGCAAAAACATGTCACTTACACCTTATGTAGGAAAAGAGGAAATAAGAAAAACCAAAAGAATCTTAGTTCTGACAAAACCTCAATTTTGTCATGATCAACATCCAAATCTGTCATATCTTCTTTCACTTGCTGATTCAACAAAACTCTATTGGAGTCTCGATCAACCATAACGGAATTATTACTTGAATCACCTCCAGGAATCAGAGTAGTTTTATTTAGAATACACTCGGGTACCAATTCCAAATACAATGGAGCTCCCCTGTTGAGACATGACCATTAGATCTAAGATCAAGCAGTTATTATCATAGTAGACACCTTTTAGTGCTTGTGAAAAAGCTGTTAGTAGTTAATTTTTAGTTAAAAGTGCTGAAACCTTATTCATGTCCATGAACTTGTCAAATTTTGTCCTTCCTACACTCGAACTTACACTTTTGGCTCAAAGTTGTTAAATTCAGACATTCATGCTCTTGTATACAATATATGTTCAAAATTTCAAATGACATCCTATGCTGCCGAGCAAGGCACCACAAAAGGCCATAAATGTATGGATTCAGAGATATTGCGGGCAATAGTGATAAAAGTTAATTAGTTTCAGGGGTAACGATGACAGAAGTGCAAGTTTGAGGGCACAAATAACAAAATACAACATGTTCATGAACATAAAAATGTGTGTGTTGTCAACATATGATATATAGATTGACAAGTCATTCCACATGAACTAAGAAGTTAATTTAACACATAAACTCTAACAGAAGCTACAGCTTATGAAAGTAAAAAGCCATAGAAGTAACTGATGCTTATTGTGATAAGCATTAAATTATAGCTACGTGTTAAGAAAAACAATAAGTAATGAGTTACAAAAAACTGAAAAAGCTCTTCATAAGTAACGCCAGCAAAAGAACTTACTTGTAACACTTGTATCGTAGAGCATTAAAGCATGCATGAGCATCAACAGTTTCCACAAAGATTACCTGAAGTACAAAAATGAAAAAAATCATAGTAAAGAAATAGTTAGTTTATTCGGGAAAGAAAGCTCATGAGAAAAATTATTTCCATATGAGATTCATTATACAAATACAAACACAAGCTTGCTCATGAGCAGTTGGCGCAATATAACGAACTGAAATTGTAACTAATATACTCCCTCCGTCCCAAAAAATACTTCTCGGTTTGACTTGGCACACTTATTAAGAAAATGAGAATAAAGTGGAAATGTATGGTTGATTGGTTGTGTTTTAGTAATAAAAAGGTAAATGAATGTTAGCCACACAAAACTTTCCAAAAAGGGAAATGAGAAGAATTTTTGAGACATTCCGAAATGGTAAGTGGGAAGAATTTTGTGGGACGGAGGGAGTATTTCTTAAAAATCGATAAAAGTATGAAAACTGATTCAAAATGTAAATGCAATGACCTTGATGATACCGACAGTAACTAAGGTAGTCATCCATACATCTTGTACAACAACCCAGAATATCAAAAACTTAGAAAGAAACAGAGGAGAATAGATAAGGATACCAAGGCCAGGGTGTGTGTAGACGGAAGGACCACTTTCTCCAAATTGCCAAATTTTCCGAACATTTCAGCCAGTTCAGATTCTGATGAACAATATGGCAAGTTTTTCACCAATATGACACGACTTTTCTTCAAAGCATTATTATTCTTCCCACATGAAACCTCTAATAAGGCAACATCAATTCCAGCATCGGAAAGAGCCCTTTTTGTGTCTTCAATTACTTTAGTTTCTCCGAGTGAAGTACGAACTGCAAGATCATTAGCTTCTCCATCTAGTAATTCAGTTTTACTAACACCAAGTTTCCGCGCAATACTTTCAACAACCTACAGCGTTTTAAAACAGCTAAGGTAAGTTAAATTTAGTGATCATCAAACAAGTTTGTGCAGTATAATATCCTACAACATAATAGAACAAAATGATCATTAGATGCCATCATTTACACACTTCATACATTATTATTCATTTTTTGGAAATAAATACTTATATTAAATTAAACTCTAGTGCATCTTATTCTTTGTGAAGTTTTTGACTCGTGACAGCATTCCTTTTTCTTTTTCTTTTTTTGGTAAAAAATGAGGCATGATTATTACAAAAATAAAAAATCTTAAACGAGTTGCCTATGAGCCTGATCACTGAAACTACTAGAGTTACAAAAGAAACTAAAGGGAGCAAAAATAGTCATACTCATTAATCATGATCAAGTATATTCAAAAAAGAAAATCAGGTTTATACCATTTGTTGTTGGCCAGAAATAAAACATTAATACCTACATTACATTTTCAAAAAATACATGTATAAAAAGTAACCCCAAACTTACTGTGTCTGTTCGCATGAACAAACTATTCCATCCTCGTCTATCTCCATTTGTTTCAGATGCTTTCCTTTCCTCATTTCTTAGTTGTTTAAATGTCTTTGACGAGTAATGTTGAGTAAAATTATTAGTCCTGTAGACAGAAACAACTGCTTACTGCTTTGATAATCCAGGAAGCTACCCACAAAAAATGGCAACATTAACATCAATTATAATGTTTTGAACATATATTATAAAGTATGTACTATCATAACATAGAATAGAAGCAGAATTTCTAAGCATACTTTAAAATATTGTTTTCTTTTGCAGGCCTGATGTATAATATTCTCCCCTGAAAACTTGTTTTGTTCAGCTCTTCAAAAGCCCTGAAGATTGAAAGAAAGAATTTATTGTCACAGCATATCACAATAGTTGTTATACATTTTAAAAAAATACCTGACAGCAGATTCTGGAAGACTGTAAACCACAAATGCTTTGCCTTTAGACTGTTTTGTTTCTTTATCAATAACAAGATGGAAATGTGTGATATCACCAAATCTGCTGAAGTGTTTTTCCGTCTCCTCTTCACTGTATTTAAAATCAGCTAAACTTAATAAATAAATTACATTATTAATTAAGAGAAACATGAATAAGCAATTGACAAATAAATTTTGGGCTTTTGGCACATCGCTAGAATCTTACGTGGCAACATAAGGCAGATTTTTTATGACAAGACGGCCAATCTTAAGAATTTCTTCCTTCTCATATTCTGTACTAAACTCTTCAGTAGACCCATCAACTTTAGCTTCCACTGTGAGTGTATCCTTTGCAGGATCATGCTTGCTGTCTAAAGAAGTAAATGCGAGAGAATCATTTGCCCATAACTTTGACTTCTTACGTGATTGCATGACTTGGAGAAACTCTTGAAACTCAGGGTTATCATTTAACACATCCTTCTTCTTAGCCTTACTGGTCCCTCCATGTGCTTGTGCACCTTTAGAACCTTCACTGCCCATTGATATCTTTCTTTTTGATAAACTTTCATGTTTTTTCAGGGAGTACCTACTCCATGGGCGTGAGATTTTTGGATCCCCAACTTTTTGAGCAATCTGGAGTCCAAAAAAAGATTAAATGATGTATGCAACAACAACTACACAGTATATTCCCAACCATGTTGAGGTCTGGGGTCAGATGTACACAGCCTTACTCCTGTATTGCATACAGAGAGTTTGTTCCCAGTGCAAGCCAAGGTGCATCACTGCACATGATGTATTTTTTCCAAATAATTCACAAAGAATGAGAACAACTGGAATTTTTATATTGTTTATGATCACACTGCATCATTTTATGATGAGTGCACGTTAAAAAATTCAGTGATTGGTTCATATCAGGCGACCCCAGATGGTTTTGGGATTAAGGTTTAGTTGTTTGTGATATTCCAAAGAATAAATAAATCATGCATGGAGTGTGTAAAATAATACTCCCTCCGTATGTTAGGGACCCGACCCAATACAGTATTAATAATAAGTGTACAAGTTGAGTATAAATAGAATAAGCTTGGGCAGGTAGAGTAGGCTGTTTTGGACTTTGTCTTTGGGATTTGGGAAGATTGAGATCATTCTCTCTCTTTTGGGGGGCTTCGGCTCATTGGGGGCTTCGGCCAGTTTCTTGTTACGATTACTGTTCTTGTCCATCTTCTCTAATAAAGTTCACTTTGATTTCTTGATATCTTTCTGTAATCTGGACATCTCTATCATTGGTATCAGAGCCTTGATCGCTGGATGAGACACACTCGCGCCAAGATGGAAGGGCGTATCAATGACGTAGAAAGGAATTTGACAGATTTTGGAAGAAACATGGCGGAAATAGACAAAAATCAGCGAGAGATGCGGGAGATGCAGGCGAATTTGGAAAGAAGTCAAAGGGAATCAGCCGCAGTTGTGGCCGCGAATATCGCAGAGTTGCGAGCAACGATCGCGACTTTGGTGGAGAGAGACCAAAATCGATCGCGAAGTAGATCGCACGCTTCTTCCGCCTCACATCGCACTTCTCACCATCACCATTCGCCTCACCATCATCATTCGTCTCACCATCACCATTCGCGATATTCCACGAGTTCTGAGGAATCGGAAGGGAATGACAAATATTCACCACCGCGTCGCCACCATCATCATCACAGGGAACGTCATCATCATCAAACAGGTAGAAAGATCGACTTACCTATTTTTAATGGAGAAGATGCTTCTGGATGGCTGGTTAGAATGGATCGTTACTTTCGCTTAAATAATACCGAGGAAGAAGATAAAATTGATGCCGCTATTATTGCTATGGAAAATCAAGCGCTCAGTTGGTTCCGGTGGTGGGAGAACCAGGCACTAGAGAAGAACTGGGAGATTTTCAAGGAAGCCCTGATTAAACGTTTTCAACCAGATTCTATCCAGGATCCATTGGGACCTCTGCTTAGTTTGAAGCAAAGAGGATCAGTAAGGGAATTCAGGGATCAATTTGAAGTAGCTATTGCTTCCCAGAGACATCTAAGTGAGCAAGTATTGAAGAAAGTATTTCTGAATGGACTTAAATGTGACATCAGGGCTGAGTTGAAGCTACACACTACCAGAACTCTGGCTAAGGTCATGGACACAGCCTCTTTGATTGAAAACAAGAATAATGAAGTCTGGATCAAGAAGAATAAAGATGAAGGCAAGAAGAGGTGGCCAGGAAAAGCAGGGAATGAAGGTCATCTTCAAAATGGGGGAGATAGCAGTAGATGGAGGAGCAGTCCTATTACTACTACAAGTGCTGGCAAGATCATCAATGAAATTAAGCCAATGGATAAGGAGGAGGAGGAGGAATCAGCCAATTATGTTCAAAAGAAGATAAGTCCCAGATTAACACAACGTGAACTGCAGGAGATGAGTAGGAAAGGTTTATGTTTCAAGTGTGGGGAAAACTGGAACCGATGGCATATCTGCAAAATGAAACACTACAAATTTGTTCTTGTGGAAAATTCTGAAGGAGAAGAATCTGAATCTATCAAGAAGGATACCAAGGAAGAAGAGGAAATTGAAATGGAATTCAAAATTATGCAATTGTCCCCAAGGAATAAGGAAGAGATTCCAAGCATGAAAACCTTCAAGATCAAAGGAATATTGAAGTGGGAATCTGGAGAAAAGGAGGTTGATATCCTTATAGATAATGGTGCAACCCATAACTTCATTTCTAAGGAATTAGTGAGGAAATGGGAATTACCATACCATAAGATAAAAGGATACTCTGTACAGATAGGTGTTAGGGATTGGGCCTAATGGACTGTTAGGAATTGGGCCTAATAAACCTAGAATAATAACAAGTGTAATAGTTAGTATAAATAGACTAAACTGGGGAGAAGTCAGGTAGGCTGTTTAGACGTTTCAGACTGGGACTTGGGAAGATCGAGAACTTTCTCTTTCTTTGGGGGGCTTCGGCTCAATCTTGGGGGCTTCGGCCTGAAATTCTTGTTCATCTTCAATAAAATTCTCTTTGATTCTTAATAATTTTCTGTAAATTCCACTGTTTACCTGGAGGTGTCTATCATTGGTATCAGAGACTGTCGATTCTGTGAATGGTTGGAACGCGGAAAAAGATGGGGGGACGAATCACAGAGATTGAAAGAAATCAGAGGGAATCAGATACGAAGTATGATGAGATGTTAGCGATGTTGACGGCAATGAAGGCTGGCATCGCTGAACTCCAAAACAGGAATTCCGATCGATCCAGAAGTAGATCGCACCATTCTACTTCTTCGCATCGTACAACTCACCGTAGACATACGAGGAATCATGAAAGCTCTGAAGGTTTGGATAACAATTCCGATCATTCCGCCTCGCTTCATGGTCGCGAACGACACAGGCATCACAGAAACCAACATCCGGCTGGGAGGAAAATTGATTTGCCAATTATCAATGGAGAGGACGCCTGTGGATGGTTAGTTAGAATGAACCGGTATTTCCGATTGAACCATACGGACAAAGAAGACAAAATAGATGTCACAGTTGTTGCCCTGGAAGACCAAGGTCTGAGCTGGTTTCAATGGTGGGAAAGACAAGCTCAACATCAGACCTGGGAGGCATTTACTGCTGCCTTATCCAAACGATTCCAACCAGAATTGGTGCAAGATCCTTTGGGACCTTTACTCAGTTTGAAGCAAAAAGGAACGGTGACGGAGTATAGGGATAAATTTGAGACTGCCATTGCTTCACAGGGCCACTTAATTGAAGAAGTTTTGAGAGGGGTTTTTGTTAAGGGTTTACAGCGTCATATAAGGGCAGAACTGAAGTTATATCGCACCAGAACTTTGGCAGATGTGATGGATACAGCTTCCTTGATAGAGAAAAAGAATTCTGAAGCCTTATATGTGAAGAATAAAGAGGAAGGAAAGAGGAAAGGGCAGAATAAACCTATCATCCAGTCTTCAGGACAGAAATGGGATGATGAAAGCAGGTGGAAAAGCCATCCTTACACTTCTGTTAGTGTGGGCAAATATTCAGGGGATTCTAAGAGCAATGAAGATAATAAGGGCTGGAATTTCAGAAAGGAAGGTCCCAGTTGTGTGTCTAAGAATACAAGTCCCAGGTTATCCCAAGAAGAACTAATGGACAGAAGCAAGAAAGGACTTTGTTTTAAATGTGGTGAAAACTGGAATCGGGGTCACGTTTGTAGAATGAAAATTTTTAAGATGATGCTAGTAGAACAATCCGAAGGGGAGGAGGAATCTGATACTGACTGTAATAGAAGTAAGGGAGAATAAGGAATACATATGGAAGTTAAGACTGCAATTATCTGTACTGAACAAAGAAGGAACACCACCCATGAGAACATTCAAGGTTCTGGGAGATCTGAAATGGCTGACTGAGGAAAAGAAGGTGAATATTTTAATTGATAGTGGTGCTACCCACAACTTTATTTCCCAGCAACTGGTAGAAAGATGGAAGATACCTTTCCAAAGTATCAAGGCATATATGGTACAAATAGGCAATGGAGAATTGATTCCTAACTGCGGTAGATGTGAAGGAATGAAGCTGAATGTACAGGGAAATGAAATTCAACAGAATTTTTATATGTTGGAGCTTGGTGGGACTGACATGGTGCTAGGATTGGAATGGTTGACTGATCTAGGTGTTATGGAAGTTAATTTCCAAAACCAGATCATAAAATGGAAGAAACAAGGGCTGAATCATGTTATTCAAGGTGATGGGTATTGGTTGTACTGTGAAGGACAAAGCACAAAGCAGAAGCAAGAACAGATAATTAAAGGCAGAAGGAACGAGATTATAAAGGAGTATACTGAAGTTTTCAAGTCAATTCTGGATAAAATATCATGGCAGTTGTGTAATTCTGCTGTGAAATACATTGGAAAAAAGATGGAATCAGCCAAGCTAAGGGTCCAGAAATCATGCCAGTATTGGAAAGGAAGAAGTGCTAGGATGAAAGAAAAGATAAAGATTGGGGCTGTGTCCTATCACCCACCTTGAGGACAAGGTGGATGTTTAGAGGGGAGTATTGTTAGGGATTGGGCCTAATGGACGGTTAGGAATTGGGCCTAATAAACCTAGAATAATAACAAGTGTAATAGTTAGTATAAATAGACTAAACTGGGGAGAAGTCAGGTAGGCTGTTTAGACGTTTCAGACTGGGACTTGGGAAGATCGAGAACTTTCTCTTTCTTTGGGGGGCTTCGGCTCAATCTTGGGGGCTTCGGCCAGAAATTCTTGTTCATCTTCAATAAAATTCTCTTTGATTCTTAATAATTTTATGTAAATTCCACTGTTTACCTGGAGGTGTCTATCAATAGGTAATGGAGATCAAGTCACCAACAATAGAAGATGTGAAGGGTTGGAATTGAAACTGCAAGGGTTGAAAATACAGCAACCTTTCTATATTCTAGAATGGGGGGAACAGATATGGTTGTTAGGGACCCGGCCCAATAGAGCATTAATAATAATAAGTGTACAAGTTGAGTATAAATAGAATAAGCTTGGGAGGTAGAGGAGGCTGTTTTTAGACTTTGACTTTGGGACTTTGGGAGATCGAGAACTTTTCTCTTTCTTTTGGGGGGCTTCGGCTCAATCTTGGGGGCTTCGGCCAGAACTTCTTGTTCATCTTCAATAAAATTCTCTTGATTCTTCATAGATTTCTGTGAATCTTCTGTAAACCTAGATAGTCTCTATCATTGGTATCAGAGCTTGCGATCGCTGGATGAGATACACGCGCGCCAAAATGGAAGCCAGAATGAATGAGGTGGAACGAAGCATGGTGGATATTGGAAGAAACCAAAGAGAATTGAACGATCAACTGGATCGGAGGATGAGAGAATTGCAGAGTATTATGGCGGATCAGCTGGTTGAGAAAATGGCCTCGTTCCAGACATCGATGCAGGCGACGTTGCAAGCGAATCTGGCGGAATTCCAGAAAAACAACTCGAGCCGATCGCAAAGCCACTCGCATCGGTCACATACCTCTCATCGATCGACTACTATGCATCGCGAGAAACAGCATCGAAGGTCTAAGGACGAAGGCAGTTCCGATGGATCAAAGTAGTTCGGCTAGTCAATCATCGTCACTCCACAGACGCGATCCCCGACGAAGGTAACAACATCATCAGCACACTGGAAGAAAAGTTGATTTGCCAATATTCAATGGTGATGATGCAGGAGGATGGTTACTAAGAATGAATCGTTATTTCCGACTGAATAACACTGAAGAAGAGGATAAGATTGATGTTGCAGTTGTGGCCATGGAAGACCAGGCCTTAAGCTGGTTTCAATGGTGGGAAGGGCAAGCACATCGTCAAACCTGGGAATCATTTACAGCTGCGTTGACCAAACGTTTCCAACCAAACTTGGTGCAAGATCCTTTAGGACCTTTACTCAGTCTGAAACAAAAGGGGAGCGTGAAAGAATATAGAGATAAATTCGAGACAGCCATTGCTTCTCAGGGACACTTGACTGAAGAAGTATTGAAGGGAGTATTTCTGAAGGGACTTAAGCGTGACATCAGGGCTGAGTTGAAGCTACACACTACCAGAACTCTGGCTAAGGTCATGGACACAGCCTCTTTGATTGAAAACAAGAATAATGAAGTCTGGATCAAGAAGAATAAAGATGAAGGCAAGAAGAGGTGGCCAGGAAAAGCAGGGAATGAAGGTCATCTTCAAAATGGGGGAGATAATAGTAGATGGAGGAGCAGTCCTATTACTACTACAAGTGCTGGCAAGATCATCAATGAAATTAAGCCAATGGATAAGGAGGAGGAATCAGCCAATTATGCTCACAAGAAGATAAGTCCCAGATTAACACAACATGAACTGCAGGAGATGAGTAGGAAAGGTTTATGTTTCAAGTGTGGGGAAAACTGGAACCGAGGGCATATCTGCAAAATGAAACACTACAAATTTGTTCTTGTGGAGGATTTTGGAGGAGAAAAAGAAACTGAATGTGTCAGGAAGGATAACGAGAAGGAAGATGAAACTGAAATGGAATTCATAACTCTGCAATTATCTCCAATAAGCAAGGAAGAGATTCCAAGCATGAAAACATTCAAGATGAAAGGAGAATTGAAGTGGAAATCTGGAGAAAAGAAGGTTGAAATCCTTATAGATACTGGTGCATCCCATAACTTCATTTCTCAAGAATTTGTGAGAAAATGGGAGTTACCCTACCGTATGATAAGAAGATACTCTGTACAGATAGGTAATGGAGATCAAATCACCAACAATAGAATGTGTGAAGGGTTGGAATTGGAACTTCAAGGGCTGAAAATACAGCAACCTTACTATATGCTTGAGTGGAGGGGAACATATATGGTGTTGGGCATGGACTGGCTTACAAGCTTGGGAGATACTGAGATTAATTTCCAAAATCAGACCATCAAAGTGGAGGTTCAGGGGCAGAAGGTAATCATACATGGAGATCTTTCATTCAGTCAACTGGGAATTTATAAGGGGATGAAGAGCCTGGTGAATAGGAATGGAGGAGGAAAATTGCTGAGCTATCAAGGGTTACCTACTGACATTGAAGAAGAGAGTGTTCAAAAGCAAGAAGTTGCTGCCCTCTATGTTGCAGCAGGATGCACCTTAGCCTCCAAAGAATCTGAAGGAATCAAAATCCTGGATAACGTAGTCTGGCATCTGTATAACTCTGCTGTGAAATACATAGGGAAAAAGATGGAAGCCGCAAAGCTAAAATTCCAGCAATCAATACAGTATTGGAAAGGGAGAGGTGCTAGGATAAAAGAAAAGAAGAGGATTATGGCTGTGTCCTATCTCCCACCTTGAGGGCAAGGTGGATGTTTAGGGGGGGAGAGTTGTTAGGGACCCGGCCCAATAGAGCATTAATAATAATAAGTGTACAAGTTGAGTATAAATAGAATAAGCTTGGGGAGGTAGAGGAGGCTGTTTTTAGACTTTGACTTTGGGACTTTGGGAGATCGAGAACTTTTCTCTTTCTTTTGGAGGGCTTCGGCTCAATCTTGGGGGCTTCGGCCAGAACTTCTTGTTCATCTTCAATAAAATTCTCTTGATTCTTCATAGATTTCTGTGAATCTTCTGTAAACCTAGATAGTCTTTATTATATGGTGTTGGGCATGGAGTGGCTAACAAGCTTGGGAGATACTGAGGTTAACTTCCACTATCAAACCATCAAATGGGAGGTCCAGGGGCAGAAGGTAATCATACAAGGAGATCCTTCATTCAGTCAACTGGGAATTTATAAGGAGATGAAGAGCCTGGTGAATAGGAATGGAGGAGGAAAATTGCTGAGCTATCAAGGGTTACCTACTGACATTGAAGAAGAGAGTGTTCAAAAGCAAGAAGTTGTTGCCCTCTATGTTGCAGCAGGATGCACCTTAGCCTCCAAAGAATCTGAAGGAATCAAAATTCTGGATAACGTAGTCTGGCATCTGTATAACTCTGCTGTGAAATACATAGGGAAGAAGATGGAAGCTGCAAAGCTAAAATTCCAGCAATCAATCCAGTATTGGAAAGGGAGAGGTGCTAGGATGAAAGAAAAGAAGAGGATTGTGGCGGTGTCCTATCACCCACCTTGAGGGCAAGGTGGATGTTTAGGGGGGGAGAATTGTTAGGGATCCGGCCCAATAGAGTATTATAAGTGTACAAGTTGAGTATAAATAGAATAAGCTTGGGCAGGTAGAGTAGGCTGTTTTGGACTTTGTCTTTGGGATTTGGGAAGATTGAGCTCATTCTCTCTCTTTTGGGGGGCTTCGTCTCATTGGGGGCTTCGGCCAGTTTCTTGTTACGATTACTGTTCTTGTCCATCTTCTCTAATAAAGTTCACTTTGATTTCTTGATATCTTTTTGTAATCTGGACATCTCTATCACCGTCCCACTAAGATTGTCCCATTTTACCTTTTTGGGAAGTCCCACTAAGATTGTCCCATAGTAGTAGGTGATATCATACTACAAAACTAATTATTAAGGTAATATAACGTCAACATGAACATATTTTTTTCTTACGATCGCCTATTCTGGAATTATTGAAGTATACTCATGCAAGCACAACCATTTTTTCATTAGACAATAATCTTCTTACACCGAAGTTAATTAATCTCATGAAATGGAAGCATAACCAACACATTGAAATGGCTCAAATGAAAAAGCAAGTACGAACCTCGCAACTAATTCTGCATGTGTCCATAAAAGACTTGTCGAAGTACTTAAGGGCTTCTCCGGCTTCTTGATCTGTCCTATACCCTACATATCCAACCTGTCTGCTCTTCCCATCTCTGAAATGAATCGTGAACATGTTGAATTATTAATTCAGTAACCACCGCTACTCCCCATCCCTTCCCCTAAAAAGTGCATTGTGTGTATAGAGCTATAAATTGTGTGAAGGATACTTAGTATGAATGAGCTTGATGTCGGTAATTTCGCCTTTCAGGGAGAAGTGTTCTCTCAAGCGATCCTTGGATACATATGCAGGCAAGTTCTTCACGCATATACGTGACCTACATTGCAAACGTTATTAGCAAAGATAATAAGCCTTCAATCGTTATACAGGTATCCATGTACGAACAAGATGGTTGCTTGTTTTTTCAACCATTTTTTCAGTCCTGAGCACAAAAAGGAGTGGTATATTTCAAACAAAGTTACATTTTGTTGATTCCTAGATGTAGTGATTATTCCCCTATGCTGCTTATTGGCACTAATAAAATAGGATTTACAAGTATAACCTATAGGTCTGAGTGTGTGACCTTGCGCTCAAGTCTAAAACTGATAAGCGAAATGAAATCTAGCACTTTAGGTACATTATTCAAGGATTACACGACAGAAGGAATTGTCAGATTTCAAAACCTCAGCTTCAATAAGCACAATTGTTTTTTCAATAACTTGACGTGTGTCTTTCTCATAAAACTTCGAAAAATTACTCAGTATGAAATAAAAAATAACTAAATGTAAACTAAATAATGAAATTGCCCATACAAAATGAAAACGGCTTGTTATCTTGAATAGTCCAAAACATATGAAACATAACGTGCATTTGGAAAAGATACCATTTCAAGATCAGCACTTTTGCCTATGTTAGCATGTTTCATGATTAAAGAAGGATTTGTAGTCATCTTTTATCTAATTGATCACCAACAACAACTAAGCCATGTTCCCAAATACCTATCGATCACCAAAATGCAAAACAAAACATGGAAAAGATGATTATACACTTATTCATGATTACAATGAAACTACGAATATTGTCTTAACTTTCAAAATGTGCATTGAGCTATACAACTATTCATAAAGTTAAATGTTAAATGTTCACTCTGTTATGACCTTTAATCTTTAAAGTTTGAAGTTTGAAGTTTGAAATTTGTATGAATAGTATATGCAGAGTGAACATGTGGGGGTGGAATTGAGAGTGAACAGAGAAAAAGAATGCAGAGAAAAAGGAACAAGGAAATAGAGACAGAAAAGAAGGATGGAGGAAGAAGATTGTGTCTTGTGACGAATTACGATGGAAGACATCTCATGATCATGATAATTAGAGCGTCTTCAATGCATCTAAGTCTAGTCTACATTAAATATGCCAAATGCCAAAAATTAAGTCTTTCTAATCCACATTATATCAAGTAAAGTGATTGGATATTCACGAATAAAACAAGTCTCCAATGCATATGATCTTTCGGCCCATGACAGGTGCCATGTGGAATGTATTATATTAAAATAAAAGTAAGCTGTTTGCTTTTATTTTAACGGCTCTCCACTAAAATTGAGAGTGTAGTCATGCACGATTGCACGTACATATTGACAATCCCCTCTTTTATTGGTGAAGCCATACTTATTTCTATCCAGTCAAGACGTTTGGAAGGTTTTTCTACACGCAAACATTTACCTTCACACTTTTTAGGTTTTTTTACCATGTCAGTAAAAGACTACAAGCATCCGAGAGATAAATACAAAGACAATGTCTAATTTAATGATGTGGCACACTTAACCCTACACTAGAATGGCATGCATTGGGGATGCTCTTAGGGTGGTTCAGTTTTGTCAGCTGAGGTGGGTTTAAGTTTTTACATACATGGTGACAAATCAGAGTAGATGATATCAGAAACTTGGAGTTTGTAAGCGGGGAGGCACTGCTAAGCTGTGGTGTTGGACCGGCTGGGGAGGCAGCGACGTCCTGAACTTCTACATGAAATAACACAAGAATTAAGATCCACAACCACGAATAGAGAGGTATGCAAAGTTCAATAAGAAGAACAAATGTATTAATTAATCTAATAATATGAAATAATGGCACAGTTATTACCTCACACCTTTCATAACACAAAAACTTGACTGAATTAGATTTTGACAAAAAAGTGACTGATTTACGGCTTCTCTTCTAAAAAAACTTCCGCATCTCTAAAAAACACCCGCTTCTTCAATTCGCCTTTTTCTCCTTCTGTCGTTCTGCGCACGAAACCCATGGAAGACAGCTTCTCTCCCCATCAACAAATCGAACACTGCTGGGAAGAAGGATCCTTCAATCTCCATCGTCCAACCAATGACAAGGATCGATCGATCTCCATCATCCTCCATCTTCCAACTCAGAGCAAGGATCGATCGATTGATCTTCATCACTCCTCCATCACTGAACTCACATCCGGTCATTGAAATCTGCTTGGTTGTCGCAGGTCTTGATGCTAGGGGTTGAGATCTGCGTTCGGCGATGCGGCGGCGAGGTGGCAGGGGAGCGGCGGCACGGCTAAATTTGGACGGCTTGTGTTCCGGGTGATGGTGAGGCGGTTGGGGAAGGGGCTAGGGTCAGAAGGTGGACTTAATACATAGTTGGCCGCCGTGAAAGGGGCTGGGGCTGACAGGGGAGGAGAGGGGCTTGGGCTGGGGAGGGTGCAGGTGGGGGTGGTGGACACCTGGGCTGGTGGGATGGGTTTGGAGTGGTGGGCAATGGGTTTGGGTTGCTGGGTAGCAGGCCTGGTGGTCGCCAATGGCTGTGGCCGGTGGGGCTAGGCAGTGGAGCGGTGCAGCGGCGATAGTTGGGCGGTGTCGGCGGTGGAAGGGAGGGGCTGGGGGTGCAGGGGAGGCAGCCGGGGGTGCAGGGGAGGAGGTGGGGTGCACGGGTGGTGGCTAAAGTGACACTGGCGATGGCTAAAGTCACAAGGGTGGTGTCTACAGTGACACGCGCGGTGGCTACAGTGACACGCGCGGTGGCTACAGTGACACGGACGGTGACTAAAGTGACACGGGCGGTGGCTACAGTGACACGGACGGTGGCTACAGTGACACGAGCGGTGGCTACAGTGACACGGGCGGTGGCTACTGTGACACGGGCGGTGGCTACAGTGACATGAGCGGTGATTGTAGTGACACGGGCGGTGCCTACAGTGACACGGGTGGTGGTTGTAGTGACATGGATGGTGGCTGTAGTTACAAAAAACGAACACACAGTGACAAAATTTTTGCAGTTACATCATGTTTTCTAATTGCACATATATGATCTTCTTGATCACTTTTTTGCCCCTTTTTAAAAGTGGTCACTTTTTGGGTAATTGGTTCAAAATTAGTAATATCCAAGTAAAAACCCCTAATAATATCCTTCTATTTTTTTTTAGATAAATCCGTCTATAAATAAAAACACAATTAGTACATTAATTCTCTACACTTATTTCTTCACCTATTAAAGATTTTCATTAAAATTTTCACTTATTTCTTCACCTATTAAAGATTTTCATTAAAATTTTCTTAATATATATATATATAATAAAATATAATATAGAATGTGCGACTAGTCGCCTAGGCGATATGGCGGTCGGCTGGCGCTGCGACTCGACTTACTTCCGTGACAAGTATGCATGTGACGAGTAGAAGGCAAAAGAAAATTTTAATGAAAATCTTTAATAGGTGAAGAAATAAGTGTAGAGAATTAATGTACTAATTGTGTTTTTATTTATAGACGGATTTATCTATAAAAAAATAGAAGGATATTATTAGATTAGATTAATTAATACATTTGTTCTTCTTATTGAACTTTGCACATATATATATATATATATATATAATACATTACTAATTAAATTGTATTTCTTTATATATTACTACTATATTACAAAAAGTAAAGTACGCATTTAATTATTTTCATTGCAGTACATTGCAGTAAAGTACGCATTTAATTATTTTCGTTGCAGTACAAAAAGATGCGTACATTGTAAACATCATCATACCATGTACACAATAGCTCATCAAGCATAAATTTAACATCATGTGTCACATTAGCAAGAGAAATCACATAGTCTCATGCTTCAACAACAAATACTTAAGCAACACATATATTCACAATGGACGTCCTGGCACTAGGGAGTTACTTATTGTTACTATAACTTTACAAGAAGGGTGTATGAAAGTAAAATGATGATGTTTGTGAATATTGAAAAGGTTGGTAGTACAATTACAATGCAGTTTATATAAATTATATGCAAACTTTACAAGTAATGATCAGAAAGACTAATCGAAAGCATGTAATCTTTGTGCTTGTTGTCAATGACCTTTAAGAAAAAGTTGAAGTAAAGTATGAGATTATATAATGCCAACTATTAATATATCAAAGATAACTTTAGAATGCAATGAATGTGAAGCAAATGCTTACATGTTCTGGTAAGCTTTTCTCTTAGATCTTCACTTAACAATAATGATAAAATAAGATATGCTAGGTACTAAACAAATCCATACTACTGTGGATTTAATTCTCGTGTGGATATAAAAAAAATTAGGACTTGGATTTCCTAGATGCTTTGAAAAAGTAAGAAGATTGAAACTGGATTTAAAAAAAAAATCTAACTATTTGCAGCGGTTTGTTTTGTGGTAATCATAATAGTTTTTATTAATCAACAGAGTGGAAACTCCTATTTAATGAAAGGAACAAATCTAATGCTCAACTTGATACACCCAAAGAAGAACGTTCGTACCACCACTACAAAAAACGAAGGGCAAGGACAATGTTCACTCCTGCATTTTTTAATTTGTTGCCGTAAATAAAAATTATAATCCTAAGGAAGAAGGTCTTACTAATTAAGATGCTTATTCAGGTTCATTAATTGTAGTTGTGAGTGAATAAATTTAGATAATTTCTTATAAGGATTATACCGGGGACTTGCCTCAGGGTTAGAAATTGTGTAGCTTTGCAGCTTCACCCATTCAGCTAAAATATTATTTGCTAATACATACGAATGAAGAGGCGCAAACATGCGAATTATTGTAAACAGGTAAACAATGGTACAACTTTGCAGATATAGTGAGTCACCAGGGTTAAATGGGTATTAAATTTATGCCAATATAGTGTGAGAATGGGTTACTAGAAAAAGTTGGAGTTAAATAATAGAAATGTCTTAAGTAATTCAAATTTATAAGTGTGATAGTTAGTTGTTGAAAATAAATTTTAAAACACAAAAGTAGTCTAAGTAGCAAAAGACATTTGTATATATGAATATGCGTGGTTTTATAATGAAGAGCATTTGTTGTTGCAGTTCACATGTTCCGTTGAACTCTTAAGTTTTGAGAGTTGGGAATCTTTTGAGGGGCATTTTGGCAAACACTATTGAGGCATTAGTTAAATCAGCAGTTTTTAGGTCTTTCAGGGAACTATTATTTAAATTTATAAGTGTGAAAGTTAGTACTTGGTAGTTGAAAAATAAATTTTAACACACAAAAGAAAGGCTATAACTCTATAAGTAGCAAAAGACATTTGTATATATGAGTTTGAGTTTTTTGGTAATGAAGAGCTTTTTTTTGTTGCAGTTTACATGTTCCATTGAGCTCTTAAGTTTGGAGAGATAGGAACCTTCTCAGGGGCATTTTGACAAACAATATGGAGGCATGAGTTAAGGGCAGCAGTTGTAAAGCTTTTCAAAGCACTATTCTAAACTGCCATCGTGATCTAACACTGATAACCCAGACAGGAATAATACTGTCATTGCAACGCACTCATATGCAATCTCAATTACATGTACAAAGCAATTAATTTTATTTCTTTTTTTATTGGTTGTGAAAAACAGTTTTGAAATTGAAGAGGAAGTGGATGAATTTCCCTAGTGCGCCGGTAACATTCTTTATGACAGAGATGTGTTCTTTGAAATAACAAGTTGATTAACTTACAGGAGAATGTTAAGGACAGTGAAATTAGTTGAAATGTAGAACAAGTTGATGAATCAAAAAGTAAAGGAGGCTTATTGGACATCACAACTCATGAGTATTCAACATCGTATGAATATTGTATATCTGCAAAAAAAAAAGGATGACACCCCATCCCTGAGGGCCCCCAACACCGACCGGACAGCACGATGGGAGGATGTAAATTGGACTATAATCACAATCTGACAGATAGAGAGTGGAGCTCTGTCCCCGGTACTTACAGAGGCCCTATGCATTTTTCAGCATAGTAACCCTCATCGCAGTTGCCAGGATTCGAACCCGAGACCAAACCCTTGTGGCACTCCCTCGCTACCAGTTGAGCTACGCCCACCGGTGCAATGTGACGATTTTATGATATACCAACACATACCAACACATATCTGCTCTGTTGAGTGCAGTGACATGCCAACACATTGATATCTATATACACGACAGATTGTATCAGGCGGACTGACAGGAATAGCCGTCAGGCCGAGGATATTTAGGAACCTTCCCGGTGGAATTTTTTGATGAAATTTTTTGAGCATGTTCCTCATCAAGTCTAGTTTATCCATACCAAATTTCAGCTAAAAATGCAATCGGGAAGGCAGTCAAAACAAATCTCTACTAAAACTGTGCATTATATATATAAACTGCGCAGTTTTAGTAGGGAATTTTTAGTAGGCTACTCAAAAAATGTCACCGGGAAGGGCCTCTGATGGCCTTGGCCTGACGGCGTTTTCTGTCAGGCCGGCCTGACAGGATCGGGACTATATATATATATATATATATATATATATATATATATATATATATATATATATATATATATAGAGAGAGAGAGAGAGAGAGAGAGAGAGAGAGAGAGAGAGAAATGATCCTGTCTAGCACGTTTTTGTCCGAATGCCGTCCGAACATGGCCATTTGGGGCCCTTCCCGGTGAAAGTTTTTGATGCAATTTTTTGAGCATTTTCTTCATCAAGTCTAGTTTGTCCATACCAAATTTCAGCTCAAAACTCGACCGGGAATGCATTCAAATCATTTTTTGAAGTTGACTACGCTTTTTATATGTATATTTTGACGCAGTCAACTTCAACAAATTATTTGAATGCCTTCCCGATCGAATTTTGAGCTGAAATTTGGTATGGACAAACTAGACTTGATGAGGAACATGGTCAAAAAATTTAATCAAAAAATTCCACCGAGAAGGGCCCCAAATGGGGATGTTCGGACGGTGTTCGGACCAGGAATGTTCGGACCTGAACATTCCTCTCTCTCTCTCTCTCTCTCTCTATATATATATATATATATATATATATATATATATATAGAGAGAGAGAGAGAGAGCCGTCCGGCCGAGCCCTTTTGGCGACCTTCTCGGTGGAATTTTATTATGAAATTTTTTGACCATGTTCCTCATGAAGTCTAGTTTGTCCATACCAAATTTCAGCTCAAAATTCAATCGGGAAGGCATTCAAATCTTTTTTTTAAATTGACTGCGTTTTTATATATATATTTTGACACAGTCAACTTCAAAAAATGATTTGAGTGCCTTCCCGATTGAATTTTTAACTGAAATTTGATATGGAGAAACTAGACTTGATGAAAAACATGCTCAAAAAATTTCATCAAAAGATTCCACCGGGAAGGTGCCCAAACGG